AGTATCGCTAATTGATACGTACATATGTCATCCACTTTAATGTTTGTTCGCAGTCTCTAATAATTATTCTATATTCATCTGAATGTCTTTGATCAAAAAAAGAAAACTTGTTCTTAAAAGAATTCTTGTTTAATGTTGTATTGTCTGTACACACATTAGGCGTCATGTCGTTTCTTTTAATGAATGAAAATTCTTATAAAGGAAAAGTGTGTCAATGTAATTCCGACAGAATTGAAAGGTGGAACTGAAAAGAAATATGGGGTATGCATGTGGATCTTCTCTTAGTCAACACGCTCATCTACAATAGCATACACGCCCTGTTTTCATAGTGAAAGTTGGGACATCGAATGCCGCTCTTGTATTTTTCTTCCAATGCAGTTTGAGAACTTCGTGATTCGTTATCTTGAGTATTGTAATGGTTTACCTCATTATTTTCTTTTCTTCTATTGAATGTTAACTTAGAGATTGTCACTAGGATGCTCGATTATGTTGGTCATTTGATCAAGACGAGTCTCCATCTCAATTCAAAAACAATCTAACAGGATGCAAATCATCGTGATAATAGAATATCATCACTTGTATCTCTTATACATATTAATTCTGTAAGAGATATATTTTGCGAGGTAAACCAAATTAAGACGTTGAATAATCTGAATCGAATTCGATAGTTAGTGACTAAATCATATTGTCTTCAACTTTCTGATTGATTATTGTAGACGGATATTCCACCTTGATAAGATAATTATGTCTGAGATTGATCAATACCAAATAAAGTGAAGAAAGAAGAATACCTCTGCCTTTCAGCGGCCTTGCAATATACAGTGCTGCCTAGCGATAGATTTATTAGCCCGGTTTCTTCTCGACAACCAATAGTAGCTGCAACTCTGGACAGACTAAGATATTTATTCAGAAATATACAGATTTTATTGAAAATCTAATGAACAGAGTGAATACAGGATAAAAGTTTTAAATTTAACTTGACTGCTAATCATTGCCATTGTATGAATTCGCTTATTTTATTTTATCAAAAGCTCATGTTTTAAGCCAAAAATTGTCTATCAAATCGATTTTAATCTTTTTTTTCTGTTTAAAACAAAAATATCCGAAGAGTACAAGAGATTAAAAAGCTTTTTATTTTTCTAGGACTAAGTTTCAATGTAGAAAAAAGCTTGTAATTACCATGCTAATCTTTTCTAAATCTTGTTGACTTCAAACATAGTTGAGACTATGCATCAGATTGTACAAAATAATACCCCATCAATATAAGTTCAGTTTTTTTTTTAAATTTTTATTCAATGTAATACAAAACGTCAAATGAGTGAAACTCTTAAAATGATACCTTCGAATATCAAACAAACAAGATGCAAAGTATTGAATTATGTATTACATTTAAATAAAACACATACTCGACAAGTACTATTGTAAATGCGTTTCTATAGAGAGGTGTAATTGTAATATCATATTTCTAGTGACACATGCCAATTGAAAAGTATATATTAACTTATCTCGATAATCATGTTTGAGCAGACAATTATTTTTATTATAAAAGATAAAGTAATACCAGAAAGAAGTTGTCATACTCGAGTTAAAAGTAAAACTATTTTACACATTATTTCTGCTATAATTATTTGATTATTTATTGCTCTTGAAGCAATTGTTATTACTATTCAACAAAATGAACTTAATAAAGCTAATCACACTAATGATATGGATATAGCACAGAAACAACGTCAACAAGATTTATTAATAGGTAATAAAACTCAAGAACAAGATCGTGAATCAAATACACAACAACGTCAACAAGAACAATTTTTAGCTGACCAACAAGGATAAGATAGTTTGCTTGATAATTATATATGTGAAATATCTTAATTACTTTTATCAATAAATTTCACATTAACACTTACAATCTACTTGAATCGAGATTGTTAAAAAGTGGCAAAGATCCGATAAGTTTAGTTGATACTAATTTAAATAAATTAGAATTAGACATTAAAGAAAATAATAATTTTTTATTCATATCTATTTTATTTAGCATTACCAAGAACTTCACTTGTTAATGCATCATTTCAAGGTTAGTTTCAAAAATATGTTCAAACATTTTTTTCCATTGTAATATCGTTATTGAGCAAAATATATATTATTAATGTAGTAAAATAGAGAGTGTACCAACAAGTGTACTTTTCATTTATTCAAAATAAACAACAGGTCAAGTTGGATATGTTATTAATGTCTAAGTGGTATTAGACTAGTATTCGAAAATGGCCTTTGTTTGTCTTGTAATTTGATTTAGTGGGTTCATCTGATGATGACTTTTGAAATAAAGTCGAAAATTCATGAATTTCCATAATAGATATATTTTTCTTCATTTTGAATAAATGAAGAAATACATTTGTTGGTAAACTCTGTATTTTACTGTATTAATTAGATATATTTTGTTGAATTAAATTATATCGCTCAGTTTATTTATTTATTTGATTTATTAAGGAATATTTCCTTTGATATAAAATATAAAGACGATGGCAATGTTGTGATTGTGAATCACAACTTTGGGAGTTCCCAGCAATCTAAAACAATCTTAATCATTCAACTATAGGCTTGTAAAAGAATACAACTGCGTCGATACTTCGGTTGGACATTACAGGGGGTCTCAAAATTATAAGACTCTCCCCGCCCCCCCCCCCCGCTTGAGTTTTGAGAACAATAAAGATTTCTACAACTAACTAAAGAAGGTTTCATTCACAATCTAATATCATATTCATAGGCACATAGTAGTAGTCTATTATATGCCATATTGCTTTGAATTCGATCAATTAGCATCAAAGAATAAATTCAAAAAGTTTTGAGTCTCTCGTATCTCATAATTATGAGACCCCCCGCCTTCTAAATATAAAAATATTGAATTAATGCTAACTTTACTAACTCAAATGGTTCTTTTAAGGATTCATTCGAAAAAGGAAACACTCAGCTATATGCTGCAAAAAATAGATTGGCAAAGATCAATTTAACTTTCCTTCCGTTTAAGAATTTAAATGTTAAAAAAGTTAAATCTGAAAATTATGACTATATAGTTCGAGAAGAATAAATTTTCACTGCTTTAATATAACAAAATTATACTTAAAGTATACTATTGAGTAGAGAATCAAAAGTTGCGTAGATTATCTCTTTCTCTCTAGAGATTATGTGAAAAATGTCTGTTTTCATATAGAGAAAGCATATAATTTTTTTACAAGAACATCAATAGAAAGAGCGTCAAATTCTGCACAAGATAGACTATTTTTGCCTTTTTGTAAATTAGTTCGAAAAAATTTCGAAACATGGTCTGACAAAGTAAACAAAGCGATGTCTCATTATGTTGGGAAAATAATATATGTTGACGACATTCAACCAGACATCTTTTCAAGCCTTTTTAAATTAACTTCTAACAAGGCAAAAATAGCCTATCTTGTGCAGAATTTGACGCTCTTTCTATGGATGTTCTTGGAAAAAACTTATATGCTTTCTCTATGTGAAAACAGACATTTTCCACATAATCTCTAGAGAGAAAGAGATAATCTACGCAACTTTTGATTCTCTACTCAATAGTATACTTTAAATTTAATTTTGTTACATTAAAGCAGTGAAAATTCATTCTTCTCGAACTGTATAGTCATAATTTTGAGATTTAACTTTTTTAACATTTAATTTCTTAAACGGAAGGAAAGTTAAATTGATCTTTGCCAATCTATTTTTTGCAGCATATAGCTGAGTGTTTCCTTTTTTGAATGAATCCTTAAAAGAATCATTTGAGTTAGTAAAGTTAGCATTAATTCAATATTTTTATATTTAGAAGGCGGGAGTCTCATAATTATGAGATAGGAGAGATTCAACACTTTTTGAATTTATTCCTTGATGCTAATTGATCGAATTCAAAGCAATATGGCATATAATAGACTACTACTATGTAGTCATGGATATGGCATTAGATTGTGAATGAAACTTTTTGCTCTGGAGCTCTGGATTTCCGAAATAATGCAACGTTTTCCAGTATTTTGACTCTACAATCGTCATTTGTTGATAAGAAAAGAATTTTTTTTACCAAAATAATCAGCAAAAAAAAAAGCAGGCTATGACATCAAGTTTTCGGAGTCCTTTGTGTTTTTTTTCATTGACTACTTTGAAAAATACCCTGTCAATATTGAACTGTAGTCGCCAGAATTTTTCGGCAATTTTCTTTATAAAAACACCTCGGAGGATCTTATAAAATCCTCAATAAGTTAGACAGGCTAGAAGAAACTCGAAAATTACAAATAAATTATTTAAAAAATTGAGATGATTTAAGAACATAAGAAATTTGAGTTACATGAATGAAACTAGAAATCTATTATTTATCTTTGATAAAAAGTGTGAAATTTTCTCTTTTATCCGAATAATAATAGTTTTAAGTGAGGTTATTAAACTTTTTGCTGATGAATAGAAACTTGTAAACTTCCTTTATCATCACGAAAAAAAAAAATGAGGTCATTTAGTCAAAACAGAATGAAGATATGCAAGTTTGTTTTTGGTAGGTGACTTCTGGGATACCCTTGTATATCTCATCAATGCTTGATTTCATTCAAACGCATAGTGGTCAAATGAAATCATATTTCAATGAAAAAAGAAATATGTCAAAGATTTTGTTGCTAGATAAAGTTCTTGTAGTCGGAACAATACTTCAATAAATTTTCTGTTAAATAGCGCGCCAAAAATACGATTAGTTATTTAATATTATAAATTTAGTAGCTTTTTGATCAAGAATTTCTTGAACAAATAAACTTTTTTCCTAATAGATACAACATTTCACTACTCAGAAGAATGAAAATCATACGAAAAGTTTTTCAATAGAATGTTTAAGATAATTTAAAGATTTTGAAAAACAACTTTTTTATCCTTTTCTTTCAACCATTAAGGAATATTACGTTATGACACTTCCTCTTTTATTACACATGTCAAAAGATGGCGCCTTCGATTATAAATTTTGCTTTATTCATATTTCAATTATTTAAATTGAAATTCTCATGAGTAGGTTTTACAATAATAGAAATAATTACTATTTCTATCAAAACATATTTGATTAGTCTAGTTCAAAACAAAATAGTCATGGTTTGTAGTTTCATTTATTCATAAAAGTACATCAAATATAATATGTCAACAGAAGAAAAGAAAACAGAACATTTGAGTGTATCGACTATTCATATGTTCGATGACGCAGAATAAGAGAGAAAGAAAAAAAAAAAAAAACCATAATTTAAATTTTTTACTGAGCTAGGTAAGAGAATAATGGGAAAAAAAAACGTGCAAGTCGCTCATAGGTATCCACTGAAACCTTATAAAAACATACACTTTGTTTCTTTAGATATTTTCTTTTCGACTTGTATCTCAACCTAATTGAAACCTTATATGTTATTTTTCTGATGTTCAAATAAATTTTGTATCGATATGTGCGATGCGTTTAGTTATTCGTCATCTATCGCCATTGATTCGTTCGCGACGACGAATTTCGTTTTTATTCACTATTGGCATACTTCTTAGTATACTATTTATTTTATTTATTATCAATCATAATCAAGAATCAAAAGATTTTCTAAATCAACCTGTTAAAAAATATGATAACAAACACAAATTATCAAATAATATGATTACATTAATTCAGAAAATAATTCCTCCTCAAAGGTAAGAATTAGACTTCATATTCATTTATGTATGAATAATTATGTTATAAAGTAACATGCCAAGTTTATGTCCGTAAACGATAGAATGTTTCTGACATGTCATTCAAATTTATGCAAATAACTGTCAAAAAGAATAATATTTATTTTAGAAAAGGCACATGGCCCATAGATGAACAAGGTCATTCATTGAAAACAAATTTCTTAGTTCTTGATTGGACAGGATTTTTTGGTTCAACAGCTAGTGAAGGTGAACATGTACGATGTCCTTCATCAAATACAACATTTATTTGGACACGTCAACAAAATCGAATTGATGAAGTTGATTTTATTATTTCACATGGTGCTAGTGAAGCCATTCCATTTGATCGTTTACAGCTGAATAATGATAAACAACAATATACAATGGCATTTATTATGGAAAGTGAAGTACATTCAGGAACAGGTGATGGTTGGGCAAGATTTAATTTTAAAATGACATATAATCTTGATGATAGTTATCCTGAACCAGCAACTTATTTTGATATGAATCCATATATAATTGATTTACTTACACCACCAATTATACCTTTTGAAGATAAAGAAAAACAAGCTGATATTGTTTGGATTATTTCAAATTGTCATGTAAGAATATATTATAGGATTTATTTATCTTTTGATTGTATTTGAGAGATTTTAATCTTATAAAACCCTCTAGACAATTAATGGAACTCTCACAATTATCAAAATTTGATTCATCATTACCACAAAAAATGCAAGATAGTGTTCCTTCATATTTTAACATATTCACGGAATGAATATTACTGTTGACGTGAATGAAGTTTAATATTAATCGCTCTCTCTCTCTCTCTCTCTTATGTGAAACACGATCTAAAAAGAGTGTTGAAGTATACAGAGTAAAAATTTGCACGTTCACTCTCTCTTCAAAAAAACGATGATGGATGTTGTTGATATGAGATCCCAGACTGTGCATGAATAACGTCTTATTCTTATATATGAACTACTTTTCCTATTACATGTCTGGGGGGATTAAGTAAAATGAGGGTGAAAAAAATGTGTCCCAAAATAGATAGAATAAAACAATTTCCCTGTAATTAGTAAGAGCAGCTACATTGTGTTTCCCATTTTAATCCCACAGAGATTGCGCTAACAGCTTTTTATCTCATTTTCATTCTAGTTGAAAATAGTTTTTTTTTCTTTCGAAGGAAATAGATTCCTATTATGCATATATAAGTTATTAATTTCTTTTCTATTCTTTCGTAATTTTTATTATTTAATAAAAATGATTTAAATCGAGGGCTTTTTCATAAAACTCAGGTTTTTTTTAACAAAGAATGCCTTATAAGTTCTCGACTTCAACGAAAATTAGTTTATGTATAAACAACGTGTGATCTCTATTCAACTATATTCATATGGGTATCGAATACATAAGACGATATTTTAAATGGTATATTATATTATGACAAATAACAAAAGAACTGTGATAATTAAAATCTTCAAATCGATTAGCATTATTAGTTACTCATAATATTTGTCGCAGAAGTGATTTAGATACTACATATCGCATTGTATAATTGTGTTACGTTACATATGATGAATTCATAGTTCATGAAAACTTCTTAAAAAACATAACTAATCGATATGTTCTAAGTGCTCGAAGCTCATATAGATATAGTTGGATAGAATTCACTGTCATTCTTTCTAATGGATGTTTTGATCTTCTTTTTGTGTACTCAAAAATTGGGTACACTCTAGAATCGATCAGTATGTCCGGCCGTCCGGCCGTATAAACGATAACTTTCGAAAGGAGAGTCAGATCATGATGAAATTTTCTACACAGTTTAGTCTCATCAATGTCTCGGTCGAGTTCGAAGATGAGAAGGATCCGTCAAGAAATGGCTGAGTTATCGGAAAAATTGTCATTATTGACCAGACCATCCCTGAGGGGGGGGGTACAGGGATTTTTTNGAGCCTCTGTGCATAAGGCCGTTGTCGGTGAGATAAGAAAATTCCTGAAGGATGCTTTTCATTAGCCCTTCCCTCGAAGATTATCCTTATGTTACTACATTTTAGTTGGATGCTAACGAGGAATCCTGTGTAACTACCAATTTGATTTTGAGTTCGAACCATGCGTGTCAGATAGATCTAAGTATGAAAAACTTCAAATGAACGATGGCTCATAATTCTTTTTTCAAAAGTTGTAGCCATTTTCCTTGAATTTTAACCTATAGTGCTATAGATATCGGTAAGTTGAATAGGACTCTTTCTATTTAAGATTTCATGGACAGACCAGTCTATATTTGAGCAGAATGTCGGAAAAGTTTTACCTCAAAAGAATGCGTTTTTCCAGAGTTACTAAAGTTCACAGAAGATACAACATTTCTTCATCTTTCATGAAATACGAGTAGTATTGTTAGTCTTGAGTATCTCTAGAAAAACGCATTCTTTTGAGGTAAAACTTTTCCGACATTCTGCTCAAATATAGACTGGTCTGTCCATAAAATCTTAAATAGAAAGAGTCCTATTCAACTTACCGATATCTATAGCACTATAGATTAAAATTCAAGGAAAATGGCTACAACTTTTGAAAAAAGAATTATGAGCCATCGTTCATTTGAAGTTTTTCATACTTAGATCTATCTGACACGCATGGTTCAAACTCAAAATCAAATTGGTAGTTACACAGGATTCCTCGTTAGCATCCAACTAAAATCTAGTAACATAAGGATAATCTTCGAGGGAAGGGCTAATGAAAAGCATCCTTCAGGAATTTTCTTATCTCACCGACAACGGCCTTATGCACAGAGGCTCAACTCGGAAGCGATTTATCATTTCCAAGGGCTACCTCATCAGATGAATATACCTTGGAAGCTTTTGTACGAAACCTTTTAGACTTTTCCCGGTGAAGGTTCCATACTGAACCTTGTGTATGAAACCATTTTTCATATTCACGAAGAAGAAGTTTCATACGAAACCAAAAAAGGATCTGATGGTGTGCCCACGATCAGATCCTTTTTTGATTTCATAAAATACCTTTTTTTTACAGTGTACTGGAAGGAGTGAAGATTTGTCATTCCTCATCTATATCCAATCTGCTTATCTTTTTCTTTTCTTTCATTTGTACTTTGACAAATGTCCACATAATTTACACATGATAAAAAGTCGATTGAAATAATCATTTTTCTTCAATATATTGTCTGAAGAATTTTTAGTTCCTTATGCAATAGTCTTTGAAACTTGATGAAATCAATTGATCATTACATTTATTACTTTTCACATAGAATAACACTATGCTTCATAATCTAAGCAACTATACATATGCAATTTATTTATGACAAGTCGGTTAGCTTGTTAGAGTCAATTAAATTTTAACGCTTCATTTGCGTACATCGGTTTTCTATTCAAAATTAAGCATAAACAACCGTAGATATTATTAGAAGGATTCAATGAGTTAAAGTCGGTGATGTGTTTTGCTGTTTAATAAAAGTAAACCATTTGAAAAATAGATTTTTTAATTCCAATCGAAATGATCGTGATGCTGATAAATAAATCCAAAATGGAAGACTATTGTTAAAATAGAGTAAGAATGTACGACCAACGAAAAAAATGAATGATTCAATATCTTGACGTTCACCACTGTACACTTTATTTTGAACCGCTGCTTTATATATTAGCACAACTGTAGTCGGTATAGTAGTACAAATGTAGATAATCAATTCGATAAGTAACATTCTTATCATATTTCGATCCCGTTTTCGAAGAATAGTGACAGCATTTCTGTTCTTAAGAAAGTGAGCACGAGCACGTACCTCTTTCAAGTTCAACACTATTAATATTCCAAAAGTAATCAAACTCACTAATGGAAAAATGCCAAGAAACGTCATGATATAAGTAGAGTACAAAATATTAGACAGACCATTCTGTGCGTCACATTCACCATTGTTATTTGTATATAACATTGCTGGAAAGATGCCTAATGAAAGCCAAAAAAGTATCACCAGTGGTATGATACGAATCGCTACTTGATATCGACTGAACGAACGAATACATACTCGATTACTAGAAGTCGCATAACGATCAGCACAAGCAAGAACCAAGAATGTTCGCATCGATTGACTGAATACATGACGAACGTAGTATTGTAATTTACAAAAAATAAGAGAATAAGAAAGTAGATTTGGATGATCTAGTGCATAAATGATGGGTATTATTGCACTATTTAAACCAATACAACTACAGAATGACATGCCCAAAATATAGAGTGAACAAGAATTACGACGATGTGCCGGTTGACTAAAGATGAGCATATTAAAAACTAATCCAATATTTCCAAGTGTAACGTATGTTGTCATTCCATAGCGCGTAAGATATTTTTGTGCAATGACAAGTGGTGAGACTGATAATGACATAACTAAAATATGAATAAACTTGGAAAAGAATTTTATTTATCATAAGTTCGTAGGAAATAGACAGAAAAAGAAAATGGGTAGGCGTCCAGCTACAATACTAATCATGCAAGAGTGAAACATTTTTTTTCTTCATGACAGGTAAAAGAAAATAGAAGTAAGTCTTGAGAAAAAATAGTTAATGTTCATCAGAGAACAAGCATAGCAGTATAATGATGAATTACGTATCCTTCGCTAATCTTTAATTATGATCAACAAAGGAAACCGAAAATTGAAAGATATCCATCATTAAGACTGAGAAAATTGCTGGCTGTCAGCATGCCACAAAGACAGATAAAAATCTAATTGGGGTATCTGGTTGTTAATGTACGACTGATAAGTTTTAAGTACAAATTATTTTCGAAAACATTTATTGATTCAACTTAATATTATGCTGTATATAGAGTTATAATTGATGAATAAAACATCTCGGAAGCCTATTGAACTTCATTCACTAAAGTAAGAAGATAATCGGAGATAAAATACTCTTGCATGCGTTTACTAAACTTGTCGAACAATATGATAAAAAAAGATAATATGATAAAATAGAAAATATGAAAGATAATATAAGGAGCTTCAAGGAAAATGTGACCTACTACCCATGCCCTCAAAATCTCCCCACTTTGAACGATTAATCGCGATTCTCAAGAAAATCGCCAATTTCAGCGATTTTATCGCGATTTACCAACCTGATTAATCGTGAGATTAAATCGCGATAAAATCGTCGATTTTATCGCGATTTTGAGGATATGGGAAATGTCTTATTTGATCTTGATGCTTGACAAACGCTGTATCTTTAAGTAGATTCTTTCAAAAAAGAATATTTCTGAAAATGTCTGCTCTTGCAACAAACACTTAGTTCAAATTCATTAGTTTATTACTTAAAAATTAATTAATGAATAGCTCTCTAGCCGATTGAGAAAAAAATTGAAGAACTTCCGGGTGCGCTTGACAGTATAAACTACTACTATAGTAAAGTTTTCGACAAGAATGGACTGTAAAAAATTTTCTCTCTAAATGCAGTTGGCTCAAGATTGTATCATGGTCCGAAGAAAAATTAATTTTTTTGTTGTTGTCATCTGAAGATTCTCAAAAATGAAAGGATTTGTGCCTTTAAAAGTCGATTTTGAACTTCTGATTTAGTTATAAGAGCATTTTTTGGCTTGTAAATTCGCACTCTATCACGTCGCTAATAAATATGCAGAACATATTTTTTGAAAAATCTCAGTAGTGTCAGACCCTGAAAGGACCCCGTCGGATAACTCAACTTATTCACTTAGAAAAACAAAATACAGGGTTTTGTAGAGCTTGAAAAGTTGCATCTAATGGTTTATAAATCAGATTGGTTCTTATTCAATTTCAAGAATTTTTCCTATATGGAATATAAGTTGATATTATCAAATATTTAGATTCAAAGCATTGGACTATCATATGGAAATGATTGTTATCAGAATATGATAACAATTATTCTCTTACTTAGTTTTGTAGAGTGCTTTTTGCTCTACAATTTTATTAATTTCATTCTCTCGTTTAAAAAAAAAATTTTTTTTTAATTGATAATGTCAAAATTTTTAATCAAAAATCCACAATTTCAATTTTATTGATATTTTTGTGATCTTTCATTGTCCTTCAAGACCTAGTGGTACCAACGTGATTTTTTCTCAGAAACTGCGCTTACTCATGTTCTATCAATAGCCATAAAAACTATATTGAAAATCGAAGGGGCTGAAGAGAACTTCATCCAGGACTGTGTGGACCTCACGAATTTTTGTGTCCTTTTTGCTAATATTTAGAAGATTTTAGCGAAAAAAGTTTACTTTTGGTTCAAACCAATAAAATCCGACAACATATTTGGAATCAGCATCGAAAACTGAGTCGACTTATGTGTGCTTCAAGTGTTTTCACGAACTTTGTTTTTCGCTCAAAAAT